TATGATGATGTTTAGTTCTTTAATACAAAGTTCTGATTTATATTTCACTTTTCTCCTTTTACATGATCTGTTAAGCTGTTTTTACTGACAACCTGAAATAATTGTCCGAATGTAGTGTTTGTGATGAATGATCAAACCAAGTAAAATGTAGTGTTTGTTTATCTTGCTAGTCGTGGAATTTTCTTTGAATATCATTTTAAGGCTCATTATTAGTGCTATATGCAGAATTTGTTTAGAAAGCAATTCTTAACTACTGTTGACATTCCTTTTTTACGTGAAGGGTTTGGATTATGCCATGATGACCGGAGGAGATGTTGCACCTCTTGGCGCCCAGGCTGTTACCAAAATTCATGATATATTTGATTGGGCCAAGAAATCTAGAAAAGGCCTATTGCTTTTTATTGATGAGGCAGATGCTTTCCTTTGCGAGTAAGTTAGAGCTTGAAATGCATTTTTAAGACTGCTGCTATAACAGATATCTATATAAATTACTATCTTGCAGCAGGGTAGCAAAAATTATTTGGTTTTGGCATAACATGTGAAAATATAACTGTCGTATTACTACAGTCTACATTGATTATGTTTGTACTTTTATAACGGTTTATTCAATTTATATTGATTTTTAGAATCACGAAGTGAATTGAACTTGTTCGGAGATTTTTTTTTATCATTAATAAAACTCACTTATATGAAGATTAAATACATAGAGGAACCAACAAGAGCATTGTATGGACTTTGTATAACAGATATCTATATAAATTACTATCTTTCATTTTACCTTATTGGCTGTAACTTGAAAGTATTATAATGTTCACCCTCTATACTGTAGAAACAATTGGTGTGATAAGTTGGATAGTGATGATCTCGTTTGTATAGCAATTGCTTAGTGATATTTTTGTATTCAATGCAGGCGTAACAGCACACTCATGAGTGAAGCTCAGCGAAGTGCTTTAAACGCATTGCTCTTCAGAACTGGTGATCAGTCTCGAGACATAGTACTTGTTCTTGCGACAAACAGACCAGGTGATCTTGATAGTGCAGTTACTGATCGGATTGATGAAGTGATTGAATTTCCGCTTCCAGGAGAGGAAGAGCGTCTGAAGTTATTGAAGCTGTATTTAAACAAATATTTATGTGATGACAATAATGGTTCTAAGGGAGGCTTCTTGCTAAAGAAGCAGCCTCAGAAGATTACTATAAAAGATTTATCAGAGGATGACTACAGAGAAGCTGCGAAGAAAACGGAGGGATTTTCAGGCCGTGAGATCGCCAAACTCATGGCTAGTGTCCAAGCTGCTGTCTATGGGCGCCCAGACTGCATCTTGGATTCCCAGTTGTTTAAAGAGATTGTAGATTACAAAGTGGTGGAACATCACCAGCGACTAAAACTAGCAGCTGAAGGTGGCCACCCCGGCCAAATATAGTTTGTTTGAGCATTAATTTGAATCCCTATCGACCTGCTAGCATAGATTTTTGTTCATGATGTTATGTGTGCCATTATTTGTGCGGCAGATGAAGCAGATTTAGAAGAATCTTTCCGGCTTTATAAATCATTAGGACTAGGAGGCTTTAATGACTTGGAAGCAGGATTCCAGCATAACCTTTCCACTTCATGCTAAGGAGAAAGAAGCCATGTTTTTGAGAGCATCAGAGAAGTCAAAATTACATTGATTAATAACTTTTTAGGATACGCTCAAAGTTGTAATTTAAATTGCATTTTTAATGAATTTGATTTCATTCAAATTCTAGTGAAGATTCTTCAAAAGTGAGTATGAAAAATAAGTTTATTTTTTTCCTAAATAGTAATAATTATCTATATTACATTTAATTTCAAAATTCTTCCGGAATTCTAAACCTCAAATTTCCTTTCGTACATTTCAAAGAACATTATTTGTATTTAATATTTTTTCAATAAATTTTGTATTTATAAATATATAACGTAAATATGTTATTTAAGCATTTAGCATATTTGTCCGTGATATATTTCGCTACCAGTTAAAATCTAGGCTCCATGTACATTAGGTTTAGCTGTATTTTTATTTCATAATATTACAACTTCCAATATGCATTTGATTTAAATGAAGTTAAACAATAATATATCATAGTTTCTATTTCCTTCTAATTTCTATCTTTAATGTCTTGTTCACTTTAACTTTAGGGAGTTTGGAGGAGTTGATTTGGGAAGAGTAATTAAATGAATTTGAGAGTAAGTTTTTTATTGTTTATTTAAGTGGATTTGAAGATAAGTGAGAATAGATTTAGAAGTAAAGTTTGTGAGAATTAGCGTAGTATTTGATTGATATCACATTTAAAAAAATTGTTCAAATCATAGAAATTAAAGATTACCAAAATGTCCTAGTTATTAAATATAAAATGAAAATTGTTAATTTATATTTAATTGTAAAAATGTTTATAAAGAGTAAAAAATTAAAAATAATTATTAAAATTAATTTTAAAATCTAAAAAATTATAATTTAGTAAAATAAATTAATTTTTTTGAAATATAATATTTTTTAATATAATTTACTACTAAGTTGTTTGATTTTATTTGTTATTGAAGGAAATTTAATATTTATAAAAAAATAATTAACCAAAATTCAGCTAACAATATTAACAAATAAAGAGAAGAGAATGAAAAAAACTAGCAAAGAAGTTTACGATATAAAAAAAAGGTGAGAGCATCATAAAGTTAGGGTCTGTGCTACTGAATTTGGGAATAATAGTTCATAGGTATCACTTTTGGCCACTTTGCTTTCGGTTTTTACCTACAAGGTGGCTTTGCTATGGGTATATGGTTGGTTGGTGGTGATAGTCCACCCTAAAAAACGGTTGCGAGGGAACATGTTAACATGAGAGAGGAACCGAATACAGCTCTCAAGGGAAACGAATACACTTATTGCCTACATGCACTTCTTCTCTCTAGTGTAACCAAATTCCACAACATGGAACCGAATACACACATTACTTCATTTCTTCAATTAACTGGAACCTAATACAAATAGGTAGGAACCGAATATTTCTTCTCCCAACTCCTTCAACCTCAGATCTTCATGTTCGAGCTCTTCATCTTCGTAACCTTCATCATCTTCAACCAAACATTACTCCAACTATTCACCATGAATCTAAAATCATGCTTTATTTATTATTAGACATGAAAACATAAATTGGAATCTTTTATAAAATCTTTGGATTCGAATACCTAAATTTGAACGTGGTATTTCCTCAAATTACGAGGACAAAGACGAGATTTCAAAGAAAATCATCTCAAATATCCGTCTTTTTGTGGGTGACTAAAAAAGTGCATAACGCGCAAATTCATTTCGAACACAACGCGTCCCATAAATTTGAGCTCTCATTTTCTCGTGAACAGTAAAATCAGCCCAAGTGAAATCAGTGTAAGCGAAGTAACGTATTTCATTCCAAAATATTCTATTGGGAAAATGTCCGGTGATTGGTAGTTTAGCCAATGCTTGAGCTGCTGACATCAAGCTTAAACATTTATTTCTAGTTCCTTACTGATTTATTTTGGCAACAGGAAATAGATTGCCTTTTATAACAATCTTTCCAGGCATAACTGTCTTTGATTTGGGTATGTTGTTAAGTTATATGAGCACTAATCTCCTGACGTTTTTACCTTCTATTTTGTTCTGAATATAGTGGAAAGTTCTACTGAATTAATGATTCAAAGGGAGTCTATTTTTATTGAGAAAAAAAGCAAGTATCAAATCTCGTAGTCGTTACTTCCTAAGATGAACTGGATGCAATTTTTTCGATAAATATTTTTGATCTAGATGTAAATATGCACTTATAAGTGCCACCTTACTCAAAAATTGGCTTATCCCGTAGAAAAGGAACTGTCCAAAGAATTATCAAAGAATGAATAATTAATTTTAGACTTTAAAAGCACTATCTTAAAATTTGCACAACTAACTAATATTAATTTTATTGTGAGTTATGATATGGTTTTTATTAGAGAGAATTAATTAGGAAGAGATTGTATATCTTGTCGTCTGATGGATTTTTTAAGGAAAGGTTCATTAAGGAAGGGATAAATATTATTTTTAATCCAAAATTTCAAAATAATAAATTTATTATTATTTTTCTATATGATATTTAACTTTTTTACTTTTACTTAGAATTTAAACTCACAGTTTTGACATAAGAGAAAGAAATTTGGGAAATGAAAATAAAATAAAAATAAAGTGAATAAAGTAATACAATTCAGAGGAAATTATTACGCAGGTAAAGGAAAATGTCGCAAGATACATTCCAGAGACTTTGAAAAGAAATCTTCTTTGTGCCAGTCTTCTTTGTTTCTTTAGGGTAACAAGTGTGGTAGATATAACATTTCTCGTAAATTATCATTACATGGATATGGATTGAACGCGATTTGATTATCCGTGAGTAATTGTGGCCGAAAATTCTTCGAATATTTATCAAATTGAATATTTAGATTTTAATTGAAATAAACTGATTAAATTAAAACATAGAAATTCATCCTTATCGTCCATGTTACACTATCAACACGTTAAAAAGAGATTCCATCGGTTGAAGAAAAGAGATATACTCTGAGGGAGATAAGACAGCTTATGTGACATAAAGATAAATGGAAAATATTAGTACCGTGAATTCACTGATTACATCAATGAGTGATTAAAAAAGCGGTGTTCATATTTCACGTTATGCACCCTAAATTCTAACATCTAAGAAATTCTATATATCAATCAAAGCACGGTTCTCCAATAGGTGGAGGAGCAAAACCCGTTTATGCCATCAGATTGCAGCAAAACACGGCCCATTCCGCTGCACCCTAACACTACACGTTTCCTCAACACGTGTCCAAAATCTGCCACTTCTACCCTCAAACTTTCGCCACGTTTCTCCCAACCACCACGTGGACTTCATGCTCCACGCTCTCACACACATCATATATATATATACACATATTATATTACCTTATCCTCCCTTATATTCTCATATCACGCGATACAGGGACAAGGAAAAAGAAAACAGTTTTCGTTGACAAGAAAAAGATAGAGGAAAAATGGGAAGCAGAAAGGTTGTGTTATTGTTGATGGTGTTTCTTGCAGTGTGTATGGTGACATGCAGGCCTTATGACGATCTGGGTAAGGATACCAAAGCCAAAGCAGAGGACGCAAAGAAGTTTGCCTCCGGCGAGCTGCATGATGCCGAGGAAAAACACCCGTCTTTCTCTGATTGGGCTCAAGACAAATTCTCTGAGTAATCTTCTCTCTCACCGTTGTGCAATATAATGCAGTTTCCTTTTCCACCATCTACTGATATATATATTTTAATATTAGTTGTTTTTATTTTAGTTATATATATATATATATATCCAGCATGCATGTTCCGTTTTATAACTTAGAAAGGTACCAGTTTCAAGAAGAAAAGATGCCACCCGACCATTATCTTATCCTAATATTAAGCTATGAGAGGTTTTCATGTCTGGGGAAGTTTTGAATAAGATTGATCATGTATGAGAGGTTTTGAATGTGATTATCTTAGAAGGATGTCTATTGAAAAAAAAAACCGAACATAGGATAATCATGGGAATTTATAAGCACGTCAAGAGGTAGATGTCAATGTGATTGATGTGATAAACCCAACAGTGGTACATGTTATTGGTGTTTGTGTCCTCCTTGTTGATAGATCCAACACAAATGAATCTTAAATATTGTTGTTTTGCTCATTTTTTTCAATTGTTGTGGCAGAAGCTTCGGGGCTGAAGAGGATAAAGAAAAACAACCGACTGAAAACATGATGAATAATGTAGAAGATGTTGCCACAAGTGCCGCGGGGACAATGAAGTCTGCAGCATCAGGTAACATTTGTTCATTCATCGCCACACCATCTCTTTCATGTATGCCTCTCGATTAAATATTGGTATCAAATTCAAACAACGTAGTATCTTTGATTTGTTTGTAGGAGCTTCGGATTACGCTTCCGAGAAGGCTACGGATGCCGTGGAAGCAGTTTCAGGGGCCATGGCACAAGGAAAGGAGAAAATGAACGACGCTTATAATGAAGATGTCAAGGTCATCAAAATGCCAACAGATACCAGAGAAAAAATCGGAGATACCTACAACGATGCGAAGGAAAAAATTCAGACGGCTTCAGATAAGGCTTCAAGTGTGGTTTACAATGCCAAAGATAACATGGATGAGTCCATAGAATATGTAAAAGATAGAGCAGGCAATGCCTATGACGAAGGTAAGCAGAAAATGAACCTGGCATCAGAGAAATTCTCCGATACTAAAGCAAGTGAGGTTTATGATGAAGCTAGGGATAAAGTGAAAGGAACAATGGATTGTGGAAATATGGATGTGGATGGATTTGATGAGGCCAATGATTCTAAAGAAAACATAGGCGTGCGAAATGAATATGGAAGGGACAAAGTAGCCGAAACTTTTGACCAGGCTAAACGTGAAGTGGAGGAAGCATACGCATCAGCAAAGAATACAATGACTGAAGAGGCAAAGGCTAAGTACGAGGCTGCAAAGGAGAAGGCTTCAGATGCTGCAGGAGATGTCGGAGCTAAGATGAGAAACACCCCAAACCAATGAACCTATGGTTAGTTACCACTTACTCTTAACTATGAAAAACTCTCTTAGATTCCACAAAGTTATCATCGTACATATGCGTCCAGGGTACATGTTTTTGTATGTTTTTTCCTTAAACACTCGTCAGTTGTTAGTTACTTGTTAGACATTATGAAAACTCTACTCTCCCTAATGTTAGGAGAAGAAAACCCTGAAAGGCCCCACAGTTAGGTTCTTCTCTGATCTATCACGATGCCAGGTAGATTCATACCGTACCAAGTTGTGTTGTCCCATGATGTTTTGTAGGGACTAAATTTGTAGCTTTTAGTAGGTTATGTAAGTGGATCCTCAGATGAATGATATAAATTGTTGGGGCCCTTTACTAAATTGCGTAGTTTCTTATTTTTGTTACAAGAAGAGATCGTGAACATGTAAAAGGTGCATGGTTTAATAAAGGTAATTAATCCTCTCTTTTTAAGTATTTCTTGTGCATTTTGTTAGTGGTTTTCTTTATGGTGGTCCATAACTCCAAATGCCAGTTCATTACTCATTTACTCGCGCTACTAAATAAACTCAAGCATACTTATAATTTAAGATAGCAACTTTTGCCCCCCCCCAACATACATTGCTACCAGTTTCAAATTATCTTACTTAATGGGAACATCAACTTGCACGTCTACTTGCAGGAATCATGGGAATAGCCTCTAGCACACACCATATTTAGTCTACGTGTAGCGTTGCTTATATTTACGAAGCTCTGGAGGTACACCAAAATTTGAGCACTTCTGAAAATAACGAGGATAACTATAGACTGAATCTTATCAAAGATTAGATACCCCAATGAGGTGCATGACAAAATCTTTCAGGATTGATTTTACTTTTTCAATCTATGGCGTTTCTTATGAAACCAAAATGCTTATATTTTTAACCCTTAATCTTGATCAAACGATTGAACTTATCACTGATTTTTTATTCTTCATGGTTTATAATTCTTGTTATCCTAGTTGTTTCTCCAGAGTCATAATATTTGACAGCATTACATTTCAGAACGGTTTTTAATGCTAGCTAGTAATTCTTTTTGTCAGTGAATTTTTCATTTTTTAATTATTCAGTGTAGCCTGTAGAAATTTTAGTTTGATCAATGAAAATGTATGTTACGTACCATGCTTGGAATGATAGAAATGGAATATAGATGCATAAACCAAACTGCAACATTGAAATTAGTTTTTGTGCAGACGTGAAGGCAAGTACGAGTAACAAGAAGTGAAGAACCAAATATATTGCTTATTTTAACCTTTAGAGTTTAACTTTGATTGATATATTATCAACGTTAAAATTAACAATTAAGTTAAATATGACTTTAAAATATTGTAGTTTCAAATCAGCAATTAATTTAAATATGATTTTTATAATTGAATAAAAATCTATAATTGAATAAAAATTTCATTTTTATTGTATTATAATTGAAACCAGATATCTACTCCGTGAAAATAGCTTCAGCTTCAGAAGAAAAAAAAATATCTATAGAGTTGTCTCTGTGCCACCAGTAAATTTAGGAAAGGTAGAGTCAGTTTGAATTAAATGCCATTTTATGCAAGAAATACAATATATTTTTTACACTCTAGGACTAGAATCCCAAATTAGAAAATAATTCTATGTACAATAAAAAAATGCAGTCTCTATAGGGCATCAATTCATTCGACATACGCATTATATTATATCCATCCAAGAATTGAACATTGGAAATTAATGTGAATATGTTGCCCATTTTCATCAACTTACTTTGGAACATCTCGGCTCTTGAAATCGTAAATAAAGGGGAAAAGAAAAGCCTTTTCACTCTTCATATTTTGGATTTTTAAATCCAAACCAAAGCTTGTACAATAGAAATGTTTGGCACAAACTCGTACTTGCTATTTACATTATTACTTACCACATTATTCGTAAGTATAAGAAACCGATTCAGATTAATTACTACTCCTGAGTTTGACTCAATAATTGTGACTCGAATCTCATCGCATTTCTTGTGGCTTTTTCGTACAAAATAACTCTACTTTCACCGTTGACAAGTACGAGGGTAAAGGGAAAAAGATAGAACAACTGAAGGGGGAAATTTGTATACTCAGATCCTTCTTTTCGTTATTTATTTGTCATCATTTGACTACATCTTCCTGGTTCGTTCGCGTAGAGACAGTATAATACAGACATTATGCATATTATTATGAAAAGGGCAATTTGAGAAAAAAACGGATATTGTCTGCTAATTCATGTGTCGGCCGGTGTCTATGTATGGAATGAGTAGGAGAGGACAAAATTGTGGTTGGGTCATGACTCGTGAGTGTGGGATCTATTTTCTCTCCAAAGCCTTCTACATTGATGAGCAAGGAAGTGAACAGGTTCACGAACCAACACTTCCATGATTAAAATACAAAAGTTCGTCAAATTATTATGCATGAAATATTGTTACAGCTAGTTAGACCAAGTACCCCATCACAAACAACAACGTATACCAATATCATATCCTACTTCATCACAACAACGACCAAAAACTCGTCTTTTCCCTTTTTCATTTCTTTCTCTATAGTGGTGAAAATGGTTAGTCAGTGGTCACGCCAAAAGAAGAAAGAGGTTAGAAACTGAGAATTAATCCGTACGTGTTTTTCTGCACCAAGAAAATCAGTGCAAATTTTCTATGCTGCCTAGTCCATACGAAAGCGCGTGTTGATTAATAAAGAGCATACACAGCGAAAATGAGTAATTATAATGGGAAGTTACACAGCTGCTGTCAATTTAATGTGTCTATGTGCTATAGCTAGCTAGCTCTAGCTTCCTCTGCTTGAATAATATATATATATATATATATATATATATGCACATCTAAATCTACAATATTATTGACTTAAAAATTAATCTGGTGTCTCTTTTTGTTATTATTTCTTTCCAAACAAGATGGAAGACAAGGGATGTAGAAAAGAAGAAGAGTGTAGGCTAGGCTTACATTGGGTGCTTCTTGTTATTGTGCATCCAAACCTTGAAAACTTGTCTCTTTACGCCCGCTTGAGAACAAAATTGCTGTACCTCCTGCTCATTATGTTTCTGAATCTTCCAACCAATCTTTTCAGCAAACTCCATCATCCTATCCTTCTGGTGCTGAGAGAATTTAGTCCTAAACCTCTTCTTGGAAGAAAGTGGCGCCTGCACTGATAACTGTGCTCCTCCGGTGTTGGACTGAAACATGTTCAGATCTTCGCTTGAGGACTCAGCTTGGCCTCCAAAGGCCATCATCACTTGGGGAACCAGACTCGGTGTACCACTGCTACCAACTAATCTGTGATGATGGAGGGAAGAAGGAGAGGGTGTAGGGTAGTGAAGGTGCCCATTGTGCTTGTTGGGGTAGTAGCTGTGATAATTGGGAACATGTTGTTGTTGTTGCTGTACCAGTAACAGTGGCGGTGGTTGTTGTGGCTGTAACTCTCCGTCAACCTCTTTCCTGTGGAAGTTGCGGTGACACTCACACGCGGCGCATCTTAGTGATTCCAGCGTACCTTCTTCGCCACTTGCCATGAACTCTCCACAGCCATCCACCACGTGGCTCCCCATGCTTGCCGCGTGGTTCCGAAGACATTCTCGGTACCTGATCGACGGGGTTGAGGTTGAGGTTGAGGTTGTTGCTGCTGCTGGTGGTTGTGGTATTGTTGTTATGTGGGGGTGTGGTGTTCTTAGAGGATTCGATGTGGGAGCAATTGGGGTGGTTAGATCTGGATCTGGTGTGAGTGTATGAGGTTGACGAGGTGCAAGAGGAGGAGGAGGTGGTGGTGGGTAGAGATTATGGTGAGGTGGGTCGTTGAAGATTAATGTGTGAGTTTGATGAGGTGGTTGATGATGAGGTTGATCACGATCATGATGAGTGGTACTTCTTTCACCAAGTGTTGGAGAAGAGAGCTTGGAAGAGGAAGAAGAAGAATCTCTGTTGGGAAGGTTGTAACCTAAACTTGTTGGTATCTCTATTTCCTTATCTTGGCCTCCCATTTCCATCAGACTTTGCTTTCTGTGGGTTTCCAAGATCTACCAAGCTACGTTTGATCTCAACCCTCTATGCTCTCTCTAATTATGACAAGCTCTAATCTTTCCTAAACCATCATCATCTTCCTGATTTTTGCTTTAATTATGGTTGTAGATCTTCCTGTACCCTCCTCAACCCTAATTCATATTATCCCATCTAATACAACACCAGACTCAACCAAAGGCATAATTACTAGCACGCCCACAATTATTCTTTCCTTATTCTGATTTTGACGTTCTGGGTGCTAATCCCACCAACCAATTTTCACTAATCAATCCTATTCTCAGAAGTGAATCAGTGATTTAACTGTATATATAGCACCACTACAGCCAGGGAGGGAATAGCTTTATTATTATTTTATTTATTGGGGAAAAAACAAAGAGAAAAGGATAATATATTTTGGTAGAATAGAAAAACCTTATGGAATGAGACTACAACGGGGTCCCTAGAGACCCAGATAATCTATAAAAAAAAAATACTCACCTCTGTGGCTAGAATGTTAGACTGTGAAGACTTGAGGAGTAGAAGTAGAAAGCTGAATTGCACCAGCAAGAGAAAACAACACAAGAGGTTGGGAAACACAAAGAGTAAATTGTGAAAGAGTTAAGGTTGATTAGGAAATAAGAAAGGGATGTTATGAGTTAATGTTGGATTAGAGGAAGTGGTGTGGAAAAGTTGGTGTTAGGGTGGGAAGAGGGGGAAGAAGAGTGTTGTTTCCTACCAGCCATCCAGGCCCATAAAAACCAAGTAGGAAAGGAACAGGGGAAGAGGTTGTTTTGAACTCAGAAGGAGTGATGGCTAGTACAGTAGTACTGCAAGAATTTGTCTTGCAGAACAACCGACAAGTTCATGTTGGTCCTCTCCCACAGCCTGCACCCTGGTCCAGTTTTTAATGATTGCCTTTCTCACACAATCTCTCCAATACCCTTCAAATGAATGTGTGTCCCAAACCAGCATAATTCAGTACAAATTAAAGGGAGAGGAGAGCATTATCCTACAATTAACCTTATATGCACAAGTTTATGGAGTAATGAGACATACAAATGATAGTGATAACCCAAATTAGAATAAGATAATTTATTGAAGATAAAGATGAATAGAATCCAAGAGGAAATTAAAGGGAGTGAATGGTTGCTGGGCCACTACTACACACACAGCCTTGTCTTGTTATGGTGTGTCAGATTCTCTCTCTCTCTCTATCTATCTATCTCTCTCTTTGTATTGTTGTTGTGTTGTGTTGGTGAGTTTGTGCGCCTGCTGCTGCATTATCTGCAGCCCACTATTTTGTTGGACCAATGCCTCACTTTACTTACCATCTACCTTCTTTCACGATGCAATTGATGCCTTATTTGCTACCTTTGTTAGCATCTTCTTTCACATTTCTCTTTCAGGCATCAATTTGTGCTCGTTTACTTTCTAGTACACTCTCTCCTTGCCCACTACTACCATCAAAAAGACACGCCCAAATCTATATATTTTTCACTTTTCCATCTTTCTTTCATACTTACACTTCTTTTTTACTTTAAATTTCAAACCATGATTTCATACCCCCGGCTTTCACTTCTTAAATACATCCAATGATTATACTAACAAATATCTTTCGGTTTAATACATTATATATATGAGCATTTTTTTTATGTTACAAGTAAAAATGGACAGTTTGATTAATTGTTAATTGGAAAATCAAACAAAATTTTAATTGTAAATTTCATTATTAATATCCTATGACCGACCCATTCACTGAGTGGTGAGGGTCGTTTCCACCTCAATTACTTCTACAAACTGAATGGTTATTTTAAAGAGCAAGTCCGCATTTGATCAAATATCTATTAGACATCTACGTTACAAAATGAATACATTTACATGTAAAACACATTTATCAGTTTTTGTATTGTGATTAGGTCAAATCCAACTAAAATTACTAGTGAAGCAAAGAGATAGGTGATGCATTCATTGTAAATTTAAGGTTTAGTACCTCCTTTGGTCCCTCGAAAGAGGGCAAATTAAATGTTCAATTGGGTCCTACCTTTTTTTAGAAGTTTAATGTGGTCCCAAATTTTGTAAAAAGTGTGCAATCAAGTCCTTTTTGGAAACGGCGTTGATTTTTTAACAGAGCAGCTGACAGGGTGGACTGAAGTTAGCTACGTGGCTGTGAGAGGGTAATACGTGGCTGTGTGAGGGTGATACGTGGCTGTGTGAGGGTGATACGTGGCATTCATCTTGTTCTTGTCACCCAAAATGATCACGGCATTCAGGAATCATGTTATTTAGAAGGAATAGAATCTGCTAGCCGAATTCCATACGCAAACATACAGAGATGAATCTATTGTTAGCAAACATAGTATACTTGAATTTTTTTTTGCTTGAGTTCCCCTCATTCCAAGACCAAGGACCGCCGCTGAAGGAATAAACCAGAAGCTCCGTCCTTCGCCGCCGACGAACCAGGTCGAAGAAGTCGAACCATACCGCGAGGCCAGCCTTTCACCTACAGAAAACCAGAACCAAAAACAAAAACCAAAACCCAGAGATCCAGCGGCCAACCTTGGCGAAGTTTCTTTGATCTCCGCAAACCTGTCGCTCGAGACCCACCGCGCGAACCACCATCGAAACCCCAAGGGTCGCGCCTTTGCCGTTGTGTCGCTCACAAGCTCCGTCGCCGCGGACCACCCCAAAGCTGTCGCGAGTTGTCCCAACGTGAGAGAAAGGAAGCTGCCATATGTATGCAGAGCAGCGCCGAAGGAGAAGAAGAGAAGGGAAAACTATATCTTTCCCTCACATGAGCGTGACGAAGCAGACATAAGAAGAAGAGGGTAGAAAGAAATTGGGATTTCCAATTTAGGGTTCATAATCCTTTCAGATTGGGAGTTTTCCCTTTTAATTCTAATTTTAATTAGGTTCCTAATTTTCAAATTTAGGATTTTTCGAATTAGGAAAACCACGTATTACCCTCTCACAGCCACGTAGCTAACTTTAGTCCACCCTGTCAGCTGCTCCGTTAAAAAATCAACGCCGTTTCCAAAAAAGACTTGATTGCACACTTTTTACAAAATTTGGGACCACATTAAACTTCTAGAAAAAGGTAGGACCCAATTGAACATTTGCTCCCTTTCGAGGGACCAAAAGAGGTATTAAACCTAAATTTAAAATCCGACTAAAATTACTTTCGAAACCTAAAGGTGAAGCAAAGAGATAGGTGATGTATTCTTTGTAAATTTAAGATTTTACTATAACCGAATAGTTATATAATTAACTTAAGCATGAGATATTAAGGATTTAGAAAAACTTTGCAACAAAAACCTAGGACAATGTTGAGAGACTTGAAGAAAAATGTAAAATGAGTGTTTTGATTGTGATTTATTAGTTTTTCTTTTTCATTTTCAAGTGCGTTCCTCGCTCTAAAGAAAAGTATTTTCATGATATATTGATATAAAGGGACGTGTTCATATAATATATCTATATTGTATTGTTTATGATGACTTGTGCTGTGTTTTTCCCCCACACTTTAACCAAAAAAAATGTTTATCAGTTACGATATTCGGTAGTGTGTAATACATATTCTTTTCAACAGGATGATTTGGCTTAAGCAAATTCTTAAGTTAAAGTTTGTAAAATATGCAATATATATACCAAAAGTAAATAAAAGCAGAAGCGGAATCACAGTACAAGTAATATGGTCTAAGTTAGTTTAAAATAATTTTATATATATTTCCTTAAAAATTAACACTGTTATTTATTCTTACATTCATGAGTTTAATATGGAGTTATTTTCTTTTTAATTTCCTTAAGAATAAACCTCTTTTAAATTCTAATTAGACCCAGGAAATATCGTTGTCAATGATTCGTAACATAAGGGGAAAATATGCGATGAAATCTTCTGAGTGAACTGGAATAAGAAAAAAGTTGTCAACTAATAGATCTTTGGAGATGCTATTTGATTTTCTTTACATTTTAGGTAAAAGAAAAGTTTAAGGCTTTTCACAACATTTTATAAATTAAAGTCCTTCAAAACCTAAAATAAGTTTATTCGAACAAGTTAATTTTTATAATACATACATACATACATATATATATATATATATATATATATAATTCTTCCAATAAAATAACTATAAGGCTCAGTTTTTCAGATAAAATGATCTCAAAACAACAGAACTAATCTGACGCTAATCAATCTATTATATATTAATATGTTTAAACTAACTTAGTTTATAAATAAGAAAAATTAATCCAGATTGGAACTTCAATTTGTGATGATTATGTTTAGATATCTTTTTAATGAAATGGAAAAAGAAAACATAAAATCGGTCAATATCACACTTCGACAAGTCCTTCTCATTACTTCAAACATACAATCCTAATTTATTTTATATTACTTCAGTTTTTGTGTCTATCATAATTCTTTATTTATTTTTTTCATCAGCCCATTTGCTAATTTATTATTAATTATTTTTTGTCTTTTCTTTCTCTTGTATCCCTTTCTCCCTGAGATGTATAGATTTCGAGAGAGATTGAAAAAATCTTTTTGGAATAACATGATGACATTGCATGCCATGCCAAACTTTGTTGAGAGAAAAAACAGTACGTTTTTTTTTTATCATTGATTTGAAAAGTAATCATATATAGAAATCTATGGTAGAGAAGTAAAGTTATTATTGTTGTTATTTTAATGCGAGGAATGCATCTCTAACATTTTCCATGCATAAGCATAAAATGAATATAATATCACGTAACATCACCTCAAACACGTAGGAATCATATCTTATCGTACTTGTTTAAATAAAAGGAATTACGGAACTTAAATAATTGTCATTTCTCAAAAAGAGTATCTAACTACTTGTGCAAAGTAATTAAAAAACATTTTTTTTCTTACATTTTTTAAGGAAGATCAACTTAACAAAAGCTATTACATAAAAAAGCTTGTTGCTTTTATTTAATTTTATAAAAATAAAAGAAAACTTATCAATATTGGAGAGAGTAATCAAATGGAAGAAGGAATGTAAGAAGAAAATAAATTAGTTTAATAAATTAAATAACAATTAAGTTTAACAATATTTTAACTTTAAATAGATACAGATTAAAAATAATACTTGAAATTGGAGAAGTTAAATTCAGGAATATTTATTATTGAGTGGAGTTAGAAGATGATCACAAGTTCAAATCCTCTAAAGGACATTTATGGCTTAAATTTGAGACAAATCATGAAGGGACAAGGAAAAGAAAAACGTAATTTCTTTATTTTTCTTTTATTTTGTGCAACTGGGAAGGGAGGGAATAATAGAGGTGGACTTCAATTTCACGTGTCTATCTAATTTTGATGGAAGATGAAGAAATATATTTTTGTAATAGTCTTTAAGTTATATGTGTTATTGTATTAGTTTTTTGTTTCACTTTTTCTGAGGTTAAATGAGAAAAAAAAATTATATAATTTTTATTTATTTATTTATGTATTTCATCTATGACCCTAAAGAAAGCATATAGCCTTTAAGTTATAAGCAACAACCCACATTTTCTAGTAATTAAAATTTACTAAACTACCTTTATATGAAAAATGAAATTTGGTAATGTAATAAACTTTAAGTAATAAAAAGATATAGAAGCCAAAATAATTTAATATAATGATTCAATGCAGCAACCAAAGTTTAAATTGTAAAATGACGACCAAAAAACCGACAACAGATCATATCGAACAATTATGAAATTTTGCACCTAAAAATCACCGTTTTATTTGTCTATTTTTAATTTTTTTTTTAATATAAACTAAAAAAGAGTATCGGAGAATGTAAAATACATAATTTACTTAGAAAGAAAGCATTATTAATTAACATCACCCTTGATGTTTTTAACCAAATGAATGTTGGAAAGAAAAAAAGAAAAACTTTTCAAGTACGACGCATCGTTTTTTGTCGTCTAGTTTTTGTCTGATTGCGAACTGTTGTGTGTATCTATCTATC